ACGATCTGCCTCCAGCCACCACGTGCACCCCCTCCCGCCCCAGGCTTGCCCCTCGCCACCCTCCCCGCGGCGCTGCGCCTCGCGGCCGACTTCCGCGCCGGCCTCGCCGCCGGGGACGCGCCGCTCTCCGCCTCGCTGGCGCGCATGCCGATGCGGACCGCCAAGCACGCCGCCCTCTTCGCGCTGCTGACGACGGCGGGCGGCGTGCTTCCGCCGTCGACGTGTTCCTTTTGGACGGCCGTGTCTGTCTTCTTAGGCGGGCGTGCTGCTGCCCTCGCCGTCGCTGCGCGAGCTCGGCGGCTCGCTGGTGCGCACGGCACTCCGATCCTACTACGACCGCGTCTTCTCGTGAGAGAGCTGAGAGGGGCGGCGCTTGGGGGCGACGGAGTACTCCCGGCTGCCGCAGTGCCGCGGGTTGCCGGAGGGGGACACAATGAGAGAATACTATGAGAGTCCACGCGAGACGGTATATACTCAGTGTAATGCCGCTTAGTACGCATGCTATTTCTGTCCAATTTACGACACACCTCGCTGGCCGTGCGACTGCTGAAACTCGTAGTCGTGCACTTTCTTCGCGCTGGCACCGCCACCGGCACCGGCCACCGCGCACACCGACCCACACCGGCGCACCCGCGGCAGCCGGGGCACACCGTGCCTCGTGCGCGCGATGCAGCCGCCGCGGGCGCCACGCGGTCAAGGGGGGCGGGGGCTCCGAGTCCGGTTGGGGGAGGGGGAATCGTGCAACGCCACCAGCGGCCAACGCATGCCCCCAGCCCCAGGCAGGCTCCGCGTACCATAATTTACGACCTGGCTCCATTCTCCGCCCGCTCGGAACGACGAACGTGTCAACTGTCATGGAGGGGGCGATGCTTGTACGATTTGCGACTCTTGCAGCTGCTCGCGCCCACTGAGCGACGGTGTGTGTGTGCGCGCGCGCGCATCGCGCGGACATGTCATAGCGTGCTCGGGTAGTGCTCGCTGCGTCACTGTCGGCGAAATTCTTAAATCTTCTTTGGAAGACACACCACGTACTCCATACACGCGCGTGTGTCGTGGCCGCGCATTCCGCGGTAAGTGAGCCCTCGCAGCACGACCCGTCCCTTCCACAGCCGGAGAGTCGTTGCTCGTTGCGTCCGCGGGTGAGGCGAACACACCGCACGTCTCAGCCTCGCGGCCCCTGCGCCCCGGCCCCCGCCCCCGCCCGCCGCCGCGCCCGCATGCGTGTCCATCCTGTGAGTCGGGCGGTGCCTCACGGGCGAACGGCGGCCTGCACATGGTCCTGCACAAACTGCTCGATCTCCGAGCGCAGGAAGAGGTTGGGGCAGAGCTGGTCGAGGCTGAGAGGCTTGCTTGGGTTGGTGGGGTGGCTGCCGGACTTGGACACCCACTCGGCGAGCGCCGAGAACTCGAAGCTCTCTCCGGTGGGCGTGCAGGCGGGCGTGGTCATGATGCTGTGCGTGATTGGGCAGACGAAGCCCGGCGGCACGTCGAGCGAGTCGAGCGAACCCGGCAGGACGAGGGCGGCAGGCCAGTGCTTTGGCGCTGCAGGAACCGGCGCCACGCGGATGTCGATCCCCACGATCCACCCGAGCATGGCCATTCCCCGCTGAATAAGCTGGAGGCCATCGGCGATCATGTCGGCGATGTTTTCGGCGTCGGGAGCGGGCAGACGAGCGGGAAAGAGCCGAGCAATCGCCCTCCACCCCGCAACCATGTGGACGGGGAAGAAGAAGAAGACGTGGAAAAAGCCCTGCGAGAAGATGAGGTACGCAAGCTGCACGCCCGGCAGAGGCAGCAGGCGTGGGCGATTGCGCTGCAGAGCGTCGCGAGCCATAGCAGCTGGATCGCGTCGCTGGATGAGGCCACACAGCCAGTTCAGGTCCGCACAAATGTGCTCGAAGCCCACGATGAACACGAGCAGGAGCAGGCACGGATCGTCGCGCCACCACGGATTCTCGCCGGCTACGTTTAAACCGATTACGAAATGCAGTGGGGAGATCACGATGCAGAAAAGGAATGCAGTGCGCATGAGCCAGGTCGGCAGGGCTGCAGATTCGCTCTCGTCGGCGCTTGCGTCGCCGAGGAGTGTGGCCGAGAGATCCGAAAGCTGCGTGGTGCCGAGGATGTTTGCCGCGAGCTCCGACAGCAGCGAGCGGTCAAAGAGGACGAGCTCAAGGAGAGTGCTGCGTGGCTGCATCCAGAGCCCGCAGTAGACGTACAGCCCGTACGACTTGCGGGCCAACAGGAGGCGCGGCAGGTGCGGGACCGGATCGGCGGCCGAGTCAGGGGTATTGTCCGTCTGATGCTCCGTGCAGTTTGCGGGTTGAATCGGCGCGGCGCAGCAGATCTGCGTCCTGAGCGGCGCTGGTGGGCTCTCCTGAGCGGCGCAGCAGGTCTGCGTGCGCACACCAACTGCTGTATGGTCACCGAGAGCGTCCCGCCCGCCGAGCGCACCGCCAAACGCTAGGCCAAACGCGATCATGCCCATGACAGAACCGAACATCATTCTCACGACGGGATGCATTTGCGACAGCACGAGGCCGGTACGGAAAGCGCGGCGACCTCTCGGCGGAGGCCGGCGAGTCGAGAGCGAAGAGGCGCCGAGCGACAGGAAGAAATTGCGCATTAGTTTCGTCTTACAAGCTCTTCTTGCGCACATTCTTCCTCTATGCCAAGGACGAGCAGTGAGTATTCTTGATACGAAACCACGACGACACACACCAGTCGACTCGCTTCTCCCACAAGACCGGCCACGGCTACGTCAAGGCGCATCGTAGAAAGACGTACCAAGTGTCGATTCTGTATAGAATTGCGAGGCCGTGGCTTCCATTCTGTCGCTTGGTTTTTTCACGGCGACTTGCTGGACCATGCAGGTGCGGACACGGTCAAGGCAGCGATACAAGAGTATTAAAACTAGATAAGGAATTCACGGTGCTGGCGGAGGCGTGTGACGAGGCTGATGCTGAGTAGCCGCACCAGCGCTGCTCAGCGGCAGTGTGCGCCGACCAGGGGCAGGGCCAGTGGTAGACAGTGGACGTGGTGAGGCTGCTCTCTGAGCGATGACACTAGCAGGAGCATCATGAGTGTCATCGGAGTCACCTGTATTACGATATCACCACGCCGCCACGCTCGCAAGGGCCGCCTAAGCGCCTAAGCACCCTAAGCACCCCCCCGCTTAGGCCGCTTAGGCGCTTAGGCGAGTGACGGCCGACTCCCCGGGGCCTGGCGTGCCTCCGCCATGGGCTGAGCGCCTGGGAGAGCCACTCAGCAAGTGGTGTGCGCGCGTGTACCAGCCTTTAGCGTGCAGTCGGGCCACCCCAGGAATTCTGGGATCTGCATCTGGGCTAGTTCCATTTCACTGTGGCACAGCTCGCGTTACAAAACCTTGATTTTGACCATTGCGCGAAAAAGGTACATCTCGGTGCCTTCCAGAGGCAGCTGCGACCCCGCCGAGTAGACGGTAACGCACAGCAGGTGGCGCGGTGCGTTACCGTCCACTCCGCTGGGTCGCAGCTGCCTCTGCGCGTCCTGGGGATGTACCTTTGTCGCGCGCCGGAGACGACTCGACGCCGCTGAGATCGGAGATCAAGCTCTGACAGGTCGCACGTCGCTCCTTTGACGCCGACGTGACTCACCCGTGCAGATCACATCAGGACACGGTCTCGACGCGCTCGGTACGACGCCTGCGACCCGTCTCGGGTCAGGTGGCACGACGCTCATCGCGCCTACCAGCGCTGCCGTGCAGGTTGCCACGACGAGGTCGAGCACGCTTCTATACGCTCGCCGAGCCTTCCTTTCCATCCCATTTGGCAGCCTGGGAACGGTGGCGGTCAGAGGCAAAGCATACGAGGGGTGGTGGAACCACATGTCACGGCTACTGCCGGCTTGACCCCACGATAGCCTCCGGAGGCTGACTTTGAGGCACAATCATCGGACGACGTCGGCGAGTTGAGTCGCGCTCGCGGTAGCCAGATGACCTCTCATACTAGTATCATCGGCCATGGCCGCAGGAAGCGCGGGGGAGGGCGCTGGGAGCAACACGGAGCTCCGTTGGACGTTTTCAAGATTAGCGTGTCAGAGTGAAATGGAACTAGCCCTGGCGCTCGGGGGTGTATACAGCGGAACGGATCGTGAAAAACTCATATAGCACGTAGTGGTTTCGTTGCGGAGCATAACTCATAAGAGTCCCTCTGAAGTTTGCGCACGGAGGCGCCTCTTTTTCCGCGCCTTCCGCCTCTCTACTTGCCCTTCTTTTGCTCCGGCGGCTTCGAGATGCGCTCGCGCGCGCGCTTCTCCCAGACGGGGGTCGCGTCACGCGGCTTGCGGGTCACCTGCGCGTGAGAGGGGCGCGTGGGCCGAGGAGAGGGGGGGGGGGGGGGGGGGTCTTACCGTAAAAAAAAAGGGCGGGGGAGCGTCCCGCCCCCCCGGGGCACTCAAACTTTGCAGAGTCGCGGCGGCCGTACTCGACGCGCTCATTCCGCCAGTACTCGAGAGGCTGGATGCGGTTGCCCTTCGAGCGGCGCGCGCCCTGCGAGGCTGGGTCCACGACGAGGCCGGTCCGCGCCGCGACTTCGCCTGGCGAGCAGAGGCGAGGGGGGGAGATGGGAGGGAGATGGGCGTTCGATGGAAAAGGCGCCGCTGGTGTGCGTGTCTGTGCGTTTGTGCGTGGAAGCGGTGTGTGTGTGTGTGGACAGGAGGGAGCTGCTCCCCTCTCCGCACCTTCGAGGCGGCCGATCCGGTCGAGCGACGTCTTCCGCTTGCGACCCGCCCGCGGCTTCGGCGCGGCTGGCTGCGGCGGCTGCTCGAACTTTTCCTCGATGCTTTGCCGCACGAGCTCGTCAAGTGTCGGTCCGCCGTCGGGCTGCCGTTAGGGTTGGGGCTCGGGTTAGTCGATGGCGGGGCCCCGGTGGTGCCGCAGGCTGCAGGCGGGCGGGCGTCGCGCCGCGGTGTGCTGCTGGCACAAGGCTGCTAGCTGGCGCGCTGCGATGGGAGAGGCCGATCGGGCGGGCAGAGACGGCAGCGGGGCGGGACGTGTGGGGGGCGGCTAGTGTGCCCCTCGCCTCCTGTGTCTCGTCGCCGCCGCCGTCGCTCCCGTCGAGAGACTCGTTGTCGTCGAACGCAGCGGGTGAGCCCGCGTCCGAGCAGCCGTCCGTCTCCATCGGCGCCGCCTCGTCTGCGCCGCACGACGCGCCTCCCGCCGCAGCCTCGAGCAAGCCCGGCGCGACGGGAGAGGTGCCCAATGAGCGGCGCTGCCGCTCCTCCTCCTCCGCCGCAGAGAGGGGGGACGTGCCCATCGAGCGGCGCAGCGCGGCCGCCTCCTCCGCCTCGCCAACCTCGACCGGCGGCGGAGCCTCTCCTGCGTCCCCGGCTGCCGACGCCGACTCCTCCTCCGCCGCTGCGCCCTCCGCCGCCTCCGTGAACGGTGGCGGGCCTTGCGAGGGGCCGCTCGGCGGCCCACACTCGTCGTCGCCCAGCGCCATCATCGGAAGCGGCGCCGGCTCCTCGCACCCTGAATCCGGCGGGGGCGGCGACGCCCCGCCCGCCGCCTTTTCCGAGACAGGAGCGGGCGTCCGCATTACCTTGTTGGAGCGGCGGAAGGGCGTGGGCGCGAGCTGCGGGTCGAAGGCGGAAGGCGCCGCCTGGGGGTCCTCCGCCGCAGAGGAGCATCCCGCTGCGCCGGCGGCGGCCGGCGGCGGCTGCTGCTGCCGCAGCGCTGCCGACGCCTCGAGCAGCGGGCCGCGCGACTGCGTGAGGACGCCGAGCAAGTCGAATGTCCAGTCGCGCGGCGTCACCTGCCGACCGCTGCCCGCCTTGCGCCGCTGGCGCTCGTCCCGCCGGACGCGGCTCATCGCGGTTTCAAGCAGCTCCAGGAAAACAAGAAAAACGGCGCATCCCGCCCTGGATGTGAGGCTGATGACTGCACTCCAAGTGCTCCAAGGCGCGCATGGCGCTGGCAGCCGCCATTCGAAATCAATCCACAAAAAGAATTTTTGCCGAGTGGCGCTTTGACGATACTACAACGCATATCCCTCCCTTGGGGTGTCGGTTTTCTTTCTTTCTTTACTACAACGCATCGCAAAGCTATGTCGCTCACTCCCGGTCTCAAGGGACCAGGAAGGGAATATACTTGCGAGCGCAGCCCGCTGCGCTGCCCAAGGGCGGCAGCCTCGGCAAATGTTACACTGTCTCCTCGGAGGCGGAGAAGGCCTCGGCAATGTTACACTGTCTCCTCGGAGAAGGCCTCGGCAATGTACATGAACGTACACGACCGTGGCGTTCCACGTAGGATGAGGCGGAGGGTGTGGCCACTGAAGGCATTTTTCGGCACCCTCTGTCGGCGGTCGCCTATTGGTGCATGAAGCCCGAGGTTTGCGGGATGCGCGCGGCGGCAGGCGCCGGGCTCGGGACCGGGGGGTCCCGTGCCGGCGCCCCGGTCCCTACCGGAGTGCACGCGTCCGCGCTCAGAGCTCGCCCGCTGGAGTCGTGGGCCAGGCCGCCGTGCGCTCGGCGGGAAGGGAGAGGCTGTTGTGTTGAGTGAGCCTCTCGCGCCTCCCTCTCTTCGCGCATCCTGTGCATCTTGAGTCTTTTTCTGCAATTCTCTCCAGTAGTCTCACTCACGGGTGTGAGGCGCCCGCGGGGGGGGGGGGGGGGCAGCAGCGCCTTCCGAGGGAGCGCGCGATTCCGGAAAGCTAAGAATTCTTTTTTCTGGCGGCATGAGTGGCGCCGCGAGCCCAACTCTGGTGCCCGACCTGGCGGTGGGCGACCTTGCCGCGCTGCGAGCCTTCCTCTCCGGGCGGCGGACGCGCGGCACTCTCAACGCGCGGCTCGACACCGACACGCAAGACACGCTGCTGACCTGGGCCGCTCGGCACGGGCAAGCGGAGGCGGTGCGGCTGCTGCTCGAAGCCGGCGCGAGCGTTGGGGCGGCTGACGTAGACGACGCCTCCGCTCTGTCCCTCGCGTGCGAGAAGGAATGCCCCGAGTGCGTTCAGCTGCTTCTCGAGGCCAGCGCGGCGGTCGACCAAGCCGATGAGGACGGCTTCACGCCGCTCTACATTGCGTGCCAGAAGGGCCACCTCGAGATCGTCCGGCTGCTCCTCGAGGCCAGCGCGGCGGTCAACCAAGCGATGAACGACGGCACCACGCCGCTGTACATCGCGTGCGAGAAGGGCCACCTCGACGTCGTCCGGCTGCTTCTCGAGGCGGGCGCGGCGGTCAGCCAAGCCCGCAACAACGGCGCCACGCCGCTGATCATGGCGTGCCAGCAAGGCCACGTCGAGATCGCGAGGCTGCTGCGCGACGCTGGCGCAGCAGTCGGCCAAGCCATGAACAGCGGCTTCACGCCGCTGATCATGGCATGCGGGGAGGGCCGCCTCGAGTGCGCCCAGCTGCTCCTCGAGGCCAGCGCGGCGGTCAATCAAGCCAATGAGGACGGCGGCATAACGCCGCTGTACATCGCGTGCGTTAAGGGCCACGTCGAGATCGTCCGGCTGCTCCTCGAGGCCGGCGCTGCGGTGAACCGAGCAGATTCTGATGGCTTCACGCCGCTGTACTTGGCGTGCCAGAAGGGCCACGTCGACATCGTCCGGCTGCTTCTCGAGGCTGGCGCAGTGGTCGACCAAGCCAGCGGCAACGGCGTCGCGCCACTGCTCATGGCGTGCCAGAAGGGCCACCTCGAGATCGCCAAGCTCCTCTCCTCCTACGGCGCCTCCCGCGCCGCCGTGCCGCCCTTCGGCACGCCCGAGGAGATGGCAAACAACCGCGGCCACGCCGACCTCGCCGCCTGGCTGGTCGCCAGCCGCGGCTGGACGCCGCTCGCGCACCTTGAGAGCCTCACCGCCGCCCGCGCGCTCTCCCTGCTGCGCAGCGGCGCAAGCTTGCACGAGGGCGAGCCGACGCCGCTGCAGCGCGCCGCGGGCGGCGAGGGCGAGGCGGCGGCGCTGGTCCGGCGGGCGGCGGCGCCGTGGTCGCCGGCAAGCCACTCGCTCTTCCCCGCGGCGGCCCGCGCGCGGGCGGCGCTCCTCGTCCTCTCGCTCTACGAGATCCACGAGCGGCACGAGCTCGACTCGGCAGGAAACACGAACGGCATCGCGGCGCGCGACTTTAGCGCGTGCGTGCTGCGCTTCGCGATCACGCGCGAGACGGAGTAGCGCGGCGCGCGCTCGCGCTGCCGCGCGCGGTGGCGCGAGGCGAAGAAGAGCCGGTGAGTGTGCGAGGCTCAGCGCCCACGCGCGGGAGGGTAGCCGCGTGCGAAAACTCAACCTCGCCGTTCACTGGGCGTCATGCCGTGTATCCACGTGGTCGTGGAGCTCTCAGTGTTTTAGTAATGCATCTTAGTGCCCCTGGAGCACTTGGAGCACTTGGAGTGCAGTTGGCAACCTCACACCCAGGGCCGGGGAGCTAAGAAGCGCACCCAGCGCGGGCCGGATGATCGGCATCGTCCATCGAGGAGCCCGCGTTTTCTCTTCTCTTCCAGTTTTCCAGATCCACTTGTGTGTGCCAGTCCGCGCCAGTCTGTGTTTAAAAGAATGCTTCTTCCCCCGGCGCCCGCTGCCGTAGCCCCTCGCAGCAGCCATAGCCCCCTCGCCAGACACGCCGCCGCCCGCCCGCCTCCTCGACCTCCCCACGGACCTCCTCTTGCGCGCCCTCTCTCGCTGCGACCCGGCCGACATCGCTCGCGTCGCGGCCGTCTCGCTGCTCTTTCACGACTCGCTCGCGGAGGAGGCCATCCGCTTGTGGGCGCAAGAGCGCGGCTTCGAGCTTCCGGCGCAGCCAGAGGGCAGAACTGCGCCTTGCGGTGGCTGTGCCTTAAGAAAGAAGAAACAGACAACCCAAACGAGGGATAGGGGAGGAGGACAGGGTCCCCACCTGCACGAGCAGGATTTTGGAAGGACGATCAGGGGCACAGGTGGGGCTCTCCTGCTCCTGACAAGGGACACGACAGGCTCGCAGCGCGGTGCACGGTGGAATCCCAACTCCACTGGCGGTCTCATCTCTGACGCGCTGGCCCGAGCTCGCCGCGAACCGCAGCGCATGGCGCGAGACCTTGCGGACGGGCGTTGCCCCGCCAGCCTTTTGGCCGCCGGCTCCACCGCCGCAGGCCAAGCCCCTGTCGCGCACAAAGCTCCCCCGGAGCAGCGCGCAGCAGACCCAAGCCAAGATGAATGAGTCGCTCCGCCGGGAGCGTCTCACATGACAACATACACATACATACATTCATTCATGACTCTCAGTCAGCGCTTTGATCCCAATCACGACACATGTGTGACTCGCCTAGTGTGGAGACGCCGTGTACCGTGGGGCCTTGTTGTCCTAGCACGGGAGTACCCGTGTGGACCGGAGGTAACAGCAGCAGCAGCAGCAGTAGCGACCTTCCTCCGGCTTCTCACCTGCGCAGAGAAAAGAAAGAAAACAGACAACCCAAGAGGGAGGGATGGGAGGACGGCACGCCGCCACCACACAGGGATTTTAAGGAGAGGAGTGTGGTGCTAGCCGTCGCCCACCCTAACCCTTGGTCGTCTGCCTCTTTCTATCTCCCTTCGCAGTCCCTCGCCGATTCTCGCTCCAACCTTCATGCCACCTCGCGGTCGTCCCGCACTCTCGTCGTTCTCCCTCCTGGTCGCTTCCTCCTCTGTCGCGTCGCTCTCGTCTGCCTCATCCTGCAACGCCGCCGCCGCCTGCCGATCCCTTGCTCTCGCGGCTTCTCCCGCCTTTCGGCGCAACTCTGCCCAGAGACTCCGCCCGGAATAATTCTTTTCCTAACAAGCGCCGTCTTGCGGCTGGCGGTGGTGGATTGCTGGGTGGTGGCTCAGCCCAGTACTCCGCCGGAAAATGCAAGCCTGGAATTTGACGGACATCGAGAACCTTGCCGAGCCGATAGAGGTGACTACCTCTCGCCGCGGCGAGACCGGCGCGTACGAGCACCGCGTCGGGTACAGGGCGCTGGTCGACGTCCACGGCCGCCGCTCCGGGCCGTCTCGCTTCTGGCGCTGGCACGAGGACACCTACCTCGATCAGCTTAGCCGCAAACACCCGGCTGCAAACCTGCGGGCGCAGGCCGCGATTACCACGCGCTCCTACGAGCACAGCCTCGACTGCGAGCCAGCGTCCGAGAGCGACGACGGCTGGGGCTACACGCCAGACCCCGCCGCCGACGCGTCGACGATCCGCGTCCGGCTGCGCGGGCAGCCTGCCTTCGCTGCCGTCGAGGCGCTGGACGACGAGACGTCTGCCTCATCGCAGACGAGCACGCCGGCCAGCGCCACAAAGGTGCGGCGGCGGCGAGGCGGCGAGGGCGAGGCGTGCGTGCAGCAGGAGGGAGGCTGCGCCGAGTGCTCCTCGGCCGCCGAGGAGGAGGCCGCCGCTCAGCAGCCGGGGGCGAGTCTGCCCAGCGGCGGCGTCGGCAGGCCGCCGCCCTTTGACGACGTGCGGCTCCGGCTCCGCGGCGAGAGGGACGCCACCACCTCCCGGCTTGCGCGAGATGCCCCTCTCGGCCGGCTGAAGGCCGTCGCCCCTGTTGCGCCGTGTGGCGGCGGCGAGGTCGGTCCGTGCGACCGACCGTCTTCTGAGCAGGCCACGCGTCGTACACACCCACACCCCCACATCTCCACACCCACTCCTCACCTGATGTGTGTGTGTGTGTGTGTGTGTGCAGAAGCTCGCCCTACCGCACCTGTAGGCCGGCCCGCCACGCCGGCGCAGTGGCCGGGCGACGCTGACGCTCGAGCCGCTGGCGAGGGAGGCGCTCAGCCTCGCCTCGCGCAGGTATGGCGGCGCGAGTCCCCGGGCTCGCCCATGTGGTGGATGGATCCACTCATTCGTGACGTGGTTCCTTCGCAGGTACGGCCGCGAGGTTCTCGGCCGGCCGGTCGAGGTTTGGTGGGCGGACGAGCGGCGCTGGTTCGGAGGGAGGGCGCGCGACCATACCACGCGGCGACGCCTGGGCTGCATCTCGGCGAGATCTCGGCTGAAGCTCGGCGGAAGCTCTCGGCTGTTTAGGTCCGCGACTACAACGCGACGGACGGCTCTCACCTCGTCGTGTACGACGAAGGCGCGCGCAGCCACATGCTCCGAAGTAGAAGTGAGCGAAACTATCTTGGATGGCTCGCGAGCTTGTGTGCGGGGGGGCGCCCGACCAGTGGCTTGTGTGCGGGCACAGTGACAACGGGTTCATACTCGCTTCTCGTACAATGAGAGCAAGTGACCAGGCGAGCAAGGGTGGGAGGCTCTCGGGCGCGAGGAGGCGCTCGGCTGCCTCCGGTGGGGCGGCGGCGGTGGGCTGGGCGGCGGCGGTACTGGGCGGGCGGCGACCTCTGGGGCGGCGCGGCGGCGTGGCGGAGGGAGGCAGCCGGAGAAGGGGGCCACCAAACCGGGCGTCAAGAGGCGCGCGGCGGCGGCGGAGAGCGAGGTCGGGCCGCCGCCAGACCCGCCGCGCGACGTGCAGAGACGGGTCGTCGGTTCGGAGGGCGGTTCGGAGCAATGCGCTGGGGTGTTCAGCGATTCGGAGGAGGAGAAGGAGCCGGTGGAGACGGAGGAGGGGGAGCTGCTGCCGCAGCAGGAGGCGGCGGTGGTGGTGGAGGAGGAGGTGGTTGAGGAGGAGGAGGAGGAGGAGGAGGAGATCGAGGCGGAGGTGGAGAGGCCCGCGCAGCGGCTGGAGGTGGCTGCGGAGGTGAAGGAGAGGCCGGCGCAGCGCCGCCGCGTCGGAGCAAGTGTCGGAGCCGCCTCGCACGAGAGGTGGGACGCGTCGGACGACTTTGAGCGGCGGCTCCGCAGCCTCAACCGGCAGGCGGAGTGCGCCGTCGCCCTCGACTGCCTCGCTGCCGCCGTCGCCCCTCGCCCGACTGCTGGCCCGCTCGAGCCTTGTCGTCTCCGGGCTCCTCCACCTCCGCCTCGATCTCGACCTGCGGCTCCGCCTCCTCCCCAACCGGCTGCTGCTGCAGCACCACCGCCGCCTCCTGCTGCGGC